CTGTGAGGGTGGGCAGGCCCTGGCACAGGGTGCCCAGAGAAGCTGTGGCTGTCTCTGGATCCCTGGAAGTGTCCAAGGCCACTTGCTGCACTGCTCAGAGCAGCCTGGGATAGTGGAAGGTGTCCCTGCCCATGGCAGGGGGATGAGACAAAATGAGCTTTAAGGTCCCTTCCAGCCAAGCCACTCCATGATTCTATGCAGTCTGGCAGGCCTTGCTGTGATCATTTACCCTTTCAAGCTAATTAACCTCATCTCTTAGTTCCTTCCATCCGATTTTGACTGTTTGCTCCACTGAGGAAGCAGAGATGCCCGCGGGTGTGTGGCACCACCACCTTGGCAGGACATGGGTGACCTCGGGTGATGGGTGATTGTTTTCCGCTGCATGAATAATCCCGGGGCTGTTAACGACGTTCCCATTAGCCAGCAACAAGCTGTGAAATCGGGATATTTGCCGTGACAAATGTGTGAAAGGTGCTAAATGTGCCCTTGGCGAGGCAGCTGCTGGGCACTGGGAGGGACCACAGAGCTGATGGCACCAAGTCTTGCCTTCTGCTCCCCGGCAGGATCTCGATGGCACTTTGCCTCTTCCTCCACGGGAATTTGCAGGAGTCTCGGTGGTATTTTCCCACTTTTTTTGGCCACCTTGGCTGTGCCTCCCTGTCTTGGCTGAGATTTGCAGTTCCATCGGCCAGTGCTGCTGCATTAGGACCTGTCACAACTTTTTCCAGCTTTGGAGAGGAGGAGAAACCTCCCCTGTTCCTCTTCCACATGGTTGCAGGTAACCCAGAGATCAGGGGCTGCACATGGATGGAGCCTGCTTTTAGCTCTGGTCGCTGGTGACCTGTCAGCCGGGCTGCTGCTCTCCAGCCCCGTCTGTGCCGTGATGATGCTTAGGCAAAACAGCCTTTGGAACTTCAGGATTTGATCCAGCTCTGATCCCTGGGGCAAAATCCAGGTTCTGTCACCTCCTGCCCCTGCTGCCCCTCTGTGAGTGGGAGGCAGCAGTTTGGATGCTGTGAAGGATAAAGGCAGTCTCCTGATGGGGTGAGAAGCACGTGGGGATGGGCACAGCATCCTCTGCCCTTTCCTCTTCTTCATTCTCCAGAGGATGGGTCCTGGGAGAGCTTTGAGAATGATGGTGCCTCCCAAGGCTGTACCTTCATGGCTTTGACTCCTCAGCCTTACAGCTCACTGGGGAATCACTTTTCCTGCACTTTCATCCTTCAGCCTGGGCTCTGTGCCCTCCTTTGAGTGCGTTCCTCAAGGAGCCTCTTCCCGCTGTCCTGTGTCCCTGTGCCAGCCTCACGTGGATTTCTGGCTGAGTCTTGCATCCCCAAGCAAGTTCAGCTGGAACTAAATTTAGCCACCTCTCCATGAGGATTTTATAAGCTGGATTTTGAGGTGTTGCTCCTGCTCAGTGGCTGGGATTGTTTGTTGCTTGGGAACACCAAGGCAGGGGATTAATGCTGGGAATGAGTGATGAGCTGGGATATTTGTGTCTGAGCTACTCACCCCAGTGCTCTGCAGCCCTTGTTCCATACAGGGATGAGTTTTGGCTCAGAACTGAGCTCAGTTGACAGAGACTGTGAAAAAATATCCCCTGATCCCTGTTTGGTGGTGCTCCCACCTCCAGTGAGCATCCCTGTGGAACTTGGCACTGTCCTGGCTGTAGGGGGTGTAAACCCAAATTAATCACTTTAATTTGCTTGGCTGCTGGTGGCAGCAGTGGGGGTTGAGTTTGGCAGATCCCTCTTGCAGGAAATTCTCCCCTCTCCACCCTGGCATCACTTCTCTCCCAAGGAGCAAACGTGATCCTCGTTTGGGTTGATCCAGATCCTTTGATCCAGGTTTGGATCAAGCCATTGTCTGAATTACAGAGGAAGAGGCTGCAGAGAGGGGCCTGTACAGCCTTTCAAAACTAGGGAATAATAATTCCTGTACGTATCCCAGCTCCTAAATCCACATGGACACCATTGTGGGATGCAGCATGGACCATGCATTGTCCTGTCCTGCTCCATGGAAGCTCCACAGCCCATGGTGGCATCTGTGGCCCTGTGAGGACTGTCCTGCTCACCTTCCCAAAACCTCCCCACACTCTGCAATGCTGAGAACCATTCCCCGTCACTTGGATTTTGTTTTATGGCTGTAAATGAAGCCCAGTGGAGCAGATTTCCCTTTAGGATACAGTATGGAATCCTCCTTGAAGCTTTGGGATGGGAGATTCTGAGGTGTCACCTACTCCTTTTCATTGGGACATTGATTCCCATCAGCTGCTGGTGCAAGCTCTCCCAGCCCTCCCTCCCCATGGCTCCTTCCTAATTGCCTCCTTTCCCCTAATTCCCTTTTACACCTTCCAGCCCGTGGTTAATTGCAGTAGGATAATTACAGGTGATCTCGTTTTAAACTGCTCAGCCCCTGAGCTGGGAGCAGCCGGCAGTTCCCACCCTCGGTGCCAAACGGGGCATTTCTGTGCCTGCTGCCTGTGGAGCTGAACCTTTGGAGCAGATAATGAGCTTTGCTGGGATGGGGAGGTCATGGCCAGATCCCATTATGTGCCCATGTTTCATCCTCTTAGCCCAGTGCATCTGTGGGATCCATGGAGCCAGGGGCTGGCCTGGGATGGTGTCACTGGGAAGGGCCAGGGCAGGCTCTCCGTGGGCTTTGGGCCATGGGTGGCTCCCAGAAGGATTTTGGGGTGGGGAGGAGCTGAGTTGTTTCCAGAGGAGGTGAAAACATGGCCCTGAGAATGTGGGGTCTGGTGTGGACCCCTGAGAACATCGAGTCCAACCATTCCCCAGCACTGCCAAAGCCACCACTCCCCATGTCCCAGTGCCACAGCCACAGGGCTGTTCAATCCCTCCAGGGATGGGAATCCACCCCTGCCCTGGGCAGCTGTGCCAGGGCTGTGCCAGCTCTTTCCATGAATGTTCTCTGATATCAACCCTGAGCCTCCCCTGGCCCAGCCTGAGGCCGTTCCCTCTCCTCCTGTCCCTGTTCCCTGGGAGCAGAGCCCGACCCTCCCCGGCTGTCCCCTCCTGGCCGGGAGTTGTGCAGAGCCACAAGGGCCCCCTGAGCCTCCTTTTCTCCAGGCTGAGCCCCTTTCCCAGCTCCCTCAGCCCCTCCTGGGGCTCCAGCCCCTTCCCCAGCTCCGTTCCCTGCCCTGGACACGCTGCAGCCCCTGCAGGGCTCTTTTGTCAGGAGGGTCCCAGAGCTGATCCCAGTTTTGAGCACGTGTAAGATGGAAGCACAGCCAGGAATTTGGGGGGACAGGACCTTGAGCCCTCCCTGCCTTCAGTAAGGAAAGCATCAAAGGGTGATGGAGGGGACACATGTAGGGTCTGGTCCCTCCACGTTCCAGGTGTATGTGATACAAAATCTTAAAAGAAAAACTTCCTAACTAGATGAGTCTCAAATCCTGATCCTATTCAAAGGAAAGGTTTGATGAAGAACTGATGAATTTGAGCTTTTCTTCATCAAACCGTGGTAAAATCAGAGCAAGTCATGGCAGCTGAAACCCTGAATCTTACCTCGATCCTCAGGTGCCATCTGCAGCCCAAATGCTGAGTAACCAAGCCAAGAGCTGGAATCTGTAGATTCCAAATAGCTGGAAACAGAAAATAAGCAAGTCCTGTGAATGAAATGAACCTCCAGAACTCTGCAGGTTTAGTACTTTCGAATAGCTTTGAGTTTTTCAGCCAGCATTTATCCACTGGACTTGCTTGGTATGACAAGGAGTTGCACAAGCACAGTTGATTTCCCTTCATGTTGCCAGCTCCTGGAGAATTTCCATAAAAATCCTCTTTCCCTACTTTGAAACATAAGAAGGAGTTCAGTGTGTCGAATCTGGCAGAGATTTGGGGCGGGAGGAGCATCCCTGCCTCCGTGTGCAGCTGCACGTGGGGCTGATGGCAAAGGAAGTGCTGAGGCCACAGGAACTCAGGGTTTCATCCAAGATGGAAAATAACCTAAAAATAGAGCTGTGAGGGCCGGGCTGTCCTGTGAGACCATTGTTTGGGATGAGGCAGTGTGGGACAGCCAGCAGTGTCCCGGTGTCCTGGCCCCGGGCGGATGTCCTGCTCCCGGAAATCTGCTGCGAGACCGGCACAGCTGGGGCTGGGTGATGCCAGCCCAGGGGGCTTTGGGAGGGGGGTTGGTGCCAAGGGGTTCCCTGACAGCCTGGATTGTGGTGTCCTGGCTGTTCTCTGCCTGGTGGCACAAGATGGTGATGCTGTGTGCACTGCAAGGCTTCACTTGGAGCACTCCCTGAGCCCTCCTTCCCTGTGCCCAGTGCATCTGCAGGGTCTCCGTGGCTGGGGGGGTCCCCCGGGCTCTCTGGGCAGGGGAATGGGGGGTTCTGGCTATGGTGGATGTGCCTCCTCTGCTGCAGGGGCCAGGCCAGGCCCTGTGCTGTGTCCTGGGCTGTGCAGCTCTGGGGAGGAGCTGGGCATCCTTCCTCTCTGCCTCCCTGGAGCACAGGGATTGCTGGCTTGAGTAACCCAGAGCAGCTGTGGCTGTCCTTGGATCCCTGGAAGTGTCCAATGCCAGGATGGACGGGGCTTGGAGCAGCCTGGGACAGTGGAAGGTGTCCCTGCCCATGGAACTGGATGATCTTTAGGTCCCTTCCAGCCCAAACCATTCCATGATTCTATGATCCTCTCCTGTCTATGGCTGTCACCCCAGGGACCTTGGTCCCATCCAGCTTTTTATTTGCTGAATTTGGGCATGAAGGTGCCACTGAAGACCTCTGGGCTTGGCTGAGGGTTGTGAGTACCCAGCCTGGGGAGCACGGTGGGGTCAGGGATGGGCACAGGCCGTGTTGTAGCCACCTCCGTGGGGTGGTTCAGCTCTGGATGGCCGGAGCTGAGCTGTGGATGTGGGGATTGAGCAGAGCTCTGGGAGTTGGTAAAACACTCCTGGGAGAGGAGCAGGAGGGGGCGTTGGGGAACCAGCCCCGGAGTCACCGTGACACCTCCCAGCTGAGCTTTCCCCTCCTGCCACAGGCCTGCCGCGATTTCCTGGACTTAGCCGAGAGCCACAGCCGGAAATGGCAGCGGCTGCTGCAGCATGAGCGGGAGCAGCGGATCCGGCTGGAGGAGACCATCGAGCAGTTAGCCAAGCAGCACAACAGCTTGGAGCGCGCCTGCCGCGGGGCACCCGGCCTGGCCTCGGGCACTGCCAGCATCTCCAGCACTGCCAAGGGTGAGCGACAGCCTGGGGCTGCTCGGGATCCCCAGGATGGGACAGGGCTGCTCTGGGATCCCCAGGATGGGACAGGGCTGCTCTGGGATCCCCAGGATGGGACAGGGCTGCTCGGGATCCCCAGGATGGGACAGGGCTGCTCAGGGACCCCAGGATGGACCAGGGTGTTCCCCTTGGGGATTCCTGGGATGGAACACGGCTGCTCAGGGACTAGGATGGGACAGGATGGTTTGGGGGCTCCTGGGATCGACCAGGGCCCTCCAGGATGGATCAGGGTGTTCCACTCAGGGACCCCCAGAATGGGATAGAACTGCTCGGGGACCCCTGGGATGGGACAGGTCTGTTCAGGGACCAGTGGGACAGGACAGGGCTGTTCAGGGACCTCTGGGATGGGACAGGGTTGTTCAGGGACCCCTGGGATGGGACAGAACTGTTCAGACACCTCTGGGAGGGTTCAGAGTATTCTGCCTGGCTGCTCCCAGCAAGCTGGCAGCAATGGGAAGGATGCCCAAGGCAATGCCCTGTATCCCCATGGTATTTTTTTAAATGGATCCCATTATGCCATAATTATTCCTAATTGTCCTTGCTCAGGGACTTGGATGTCCCCAAGATTCAGATGTAAGAGAGGGCTGTGTCCCCAGCTCACTCATGCTGTTCCTGGCTATTTTGGGAGCTTTAACCCTTATGGGTGGGCACATTTCCGGGTGCTGGAGGGCAGCCATGGCACTGGGAAAAGGCTCAGGGGCCCCTGGCACTGCTGAATTGGCTGTGTGAAGTGGCAGTGGAACGGCCAGGGCTTGTTTGCAATAAGATCTAACAGCTTTGCAGATTCCTGCCAAATGTCCTTCCCCCAGGGAAGCATTAGTTACAGCCACAAAAACTGCTAATAGTGCAAGGTCTTACTTTTAAAGGAAATACAGACCCGAGGGAGAGAGGCTGCTGGAGGGGGGGTGATATTGGTGCCAGGCACTGCCCTCGTTCCTCTGTGGCCTCAAGGGAGGTTTAGTTTGGATATTGGGGAATATTTCTTCATGGAAAGGGTTGTCCAGCTGTGTCCCCATCCCTGGAGGGATTTACCAGCTGTATGGATGTGGCACTGGGGCACAGGTTGGTGGTGGCCTGGGCAGTGCTGGGGGAAAGGCTGGGCTTGATGTTCCCAGAGGGCTTTTCCAGCCTAAACAATTGTGAGGTGCAGGTGGGGAGAGCAGGGTGGGAATCACTGCAGGGACAGGCACAAATCGGCCTGAGGTGGTGACCCTGCTCCTCTGGAGAGTGGGAATGAGGCAGGGAATGGGATTGTCCGGGATGGGGCAGGAGCAGGGAAGCTGCACCGGGACTTGCAGCCATCGATCCCTCCCGCCGCAGCAGAGGAATGTTTGGAAATTCAGGACTGGGAAACCTCTCCGAGCATCACCTGAAACACGTGACTTTTGATTCCTGCTTTAATCCAAACCGGATTTCCCTGTGGACGGGGCGGTGCTGGAGTGGAGCCACATCAGATGTGGGTTGGGCACACCCAGGTGGCCTGTGGGCATTTTCGGGGGTGCTCCCGAGCATGGCAGGGTCATCTTGTGTGCCTGGGTTGGGGAGCAGGGCACATCCTTGCTCCTAAGAGCTGGAAAACCGTTCAGCATCCTCGGGGTGTGGAGTGATATGTGGAGGAGGGATCAGGCTGTGAAGGGAGCCGGCGAGGAGGGGACACAGAGGGGCTCTGGGGAGAGATCCTGCACTGTGGGCTCTGGAGGCAGCACGGGATGTCTCAAAGGCTCTGTGCCAGCAGGGAGTGTGCAGTCTGCCAAAGGAGAGGCCAGTGATGAAGATGAGGAGACAGAGTACTTTGATGCCATGGAGGATGCACCAGCTTTTATCACTGTAACCGCAGACCCCAAGCACCACAGGTACCGTCCCCAGCCTGCCTGGGAATGTGGGAAGGGCTGGGAAGAGCTGATTCTCCTGCAGCAGCACCTCCCACAGAGTCACTCTGTGGGCATGTCCTCCAAAATTTCCCCAGCTTCTGTCCAGGGGTCCATCCTGTGTCCAGGTCCTCCTGCATTCCTGGAGCAAGGCTGAGGATGGCTCCCAGCTGTAGTGAAGCAGGTGAAGAAGGGAAGCTGCTGTGGGAGAGCTTAATTCTCTGCCCCTCAGCTGATGGGAGCAGGGAAATCCCTCCGAGTGTTGGGCAGAGGCAGGAAACACCTTGCCATGACAGAACCATGGGATTCCATGGGGAAGGGGCTTTAAAGCTCCTCTCATTCCACCCCTGCCATGGACAGAGGCACCTTCTACTGTCCCAGGTTGCTCCAAGCCTCATCCAACCTTGTCTTGGACACTGCCAGGGATGGGCAGTTGCAGCTTCTGTGGGCACCCTGTGCCAGGGCCTCACCATCCTCACAGGGAAGATTTTCTTCCCAATACCCCATCAAACCCTGTCCTCTGTTTGCTGTCACCTGCTCTTACTCCTCCATGGACATCTGGGCTGGAGGAACCTGTGGTCTGACCCATGATCATATCCCTGGGCTTGGTGATGAAAGCAGAATCTCTGTGCCACCGGGGCTGGGGCTGAGAATCCCTTCCTGAGCATCCTGTCCTTAGAATCCCCTCCTAACAGCTGTGCACAGCCTCTGTCACCCCTTTTCCTTCCTGGCAGTCCCCTGGGGTGGTGGAGGGAGATGCTCTGCGTGATGCTGCACCAGCCCTGGGTGTTCTCTCCCCTGCTCTGCCCTCACCTGTGCTCACCAGCCGCTGTTTCCTTCCCGCAGGCGTTCAGGCAGCAACCTGAGCGGGGCCAGCGAGGGCCACCCCGAGGACTGGAACCTGGAGGACAGCGTGAGTTGCTGGGCAGAGTGGGAAGGATGGTCCTGGTGGGGTGAAAGCAGGGGAGAGGGGATGTTTGTGAGGGGACCCTCCATCTGGGTCTAGGTGCTCTCTGGTGGTTCCTCTGTCAGTCATGGGTGGGGGTCAGATATCAGCAGTCATCAGCGTCCTAAACATTCTCCTGAGGGAAGCAGGAGAGCGTTGGGGGACAATTGTACCCATGTTTCCCTGGAGAGCAGGCTTCCAGCAATGCTCCTCAGGTGTCTCCTGGGCTGTACTTGCTGTTCCTGGGAGCTGCTGGCTCTGGTTGGGTCCAGCTTAAACCTGAGTTCCTTGTGTTGCTTCCACAGGTCTTCGAGAGTTCAAATCAAAGCAGCTACAATGAGTCCATGGGCAAAGATCTCCTGCCGAGGAAAAGGAGACGGACTCGCATTCCCGACAAACCCAACTACAGCCTTAACCTCTGGAGCATCATGAAGAACTGCATTGGCAAAGAGCTCTCCAAGATCCCCATGCCCGTGAGTCTGAGTGTCCCTGGCACCCAGGGCTGGCACAGGGGCTGTGTTTGGGCAGCTCTGGGCTGTGCAGAGGGTTTGGGTTACAGCTCTGCATGGTCCTGCCGGTGCTGTGGTGGCCCAGCAGCCCCAAGCAGGGACAGGGATTGTCACCAGGGACTGGATTTTGTGCTGGCAGAGCCCTCTGTAGCTGCTGCATGCTTATCATGGAATTGTGGAGCAGTTTGGGTGGGAACTTAAAGCTCATCCAGTCCCACCACAGCCATGGCAGGGACACCTTCCACTGTCCCAGGCTGCTCCAGCCCCAATGTCCAGCCTGGCCTTGGGCACTGCCAGGGATCCAGGGGCAGCCCCAGCTGCTCTGGGCACCCTGTGCCAGGGCCTGCCCACCCTGACAGGGAACAATTCCTGCCCAATATCCCATCCATCCCTGCCCTCTGGCAGTGGGAAGCCATTCCCTGTGTCCTGTCCCTCCATCCCTTGTCCCCAGTCCCTCTCCAGCTCTCCTGGAGCACCTTTAGGCCCTGGAAGGGGCTCTGAGGTGTCCCTGGAGCCTTCTCCTCTCCAGGTGAACACCCCCCAGCTGTCCCAGCCTGGCTCCAGCCCTTGGAGCATCTCTGTTGCCTCTCTGCTGCCTTCTCTGGACTGGCTGCAGCACATTCTGGCTCCTGGGCAAGCTGGAGCAGAGGGAACATTGCCTGGGTGTGCTCTGCAAATCCAGCTGTTGCAGAGGCGTGGAGGGAAGCAGGACACTGAATCCCTGAGGATTCATGAAGAAGGGACCTTGCTGCTGGTGATGTTTTCCCTGGTGTGATCTAGGTCAGGACACTCAGGGCTCAGTCCCACCTGCACCAAGCACAGCAGGACTGGGTTCCATCCCAGGGGCTCAGTGGGCCTCATTTTCCTTACAGAGAGCAGCTTTTTGGTGGAGGTGCTGGGGCAGACTTTGGGTGCTGCTGGTTCAGCCCTGGGGGCAGAGGCTGCCTGTGATGGCCAGAAAGGGTTTGCTGGGGGGTTCTGTGTGGAACAGCCCCTCGCATGGGCTGCACAGAGCTGCATTCACAGTCCATCCTCTCTTGGATAAAGAGCAAGGAGCTCTTTCCAGAGGCTGGGATGCTGAATTGGTTGTGTTCTGTCTCTTCAAACAGAGCCCGAGTGAGAGCTCAGAGCTCTGGCTGAGTGATGAACTGTCTCGTCCTTGTGCTATTTCCAGCTGGGATGGACAGCCCAGCACCATCCAGTTCTGCAGCAGCAGCAGATCAGGGTGTGATGGACACAGGAATAAGCTCAGGATGTGAAATCCCAGCCGCTGCTGGTGCCTGGAGAGAAAAATTTATACTTTCCCTTTCAGTCAAATCATCCTGGGAGCTGCTTGAGTCCAAACCTGAGGGCAGTGTGGAAGAGACGAGGTTTAGATTAGATACAAGAAAGAATTGTTCCCCATGAGGGTCTGAGGCCCTGGCACAGGGTGCCCAGAGCAGCTGGGGCTGCCCCTGGATCCCTGGCAGTGCCCAAGGCCAGGTTGGAAGGGGCTTGGAGCAGCCCCTTCCCTGGGAGGTGACCCTGCCATGGCAGGGGTGGCACTGAATGGGTTTTAATGTCCCATTCACTCAAACTGTTCTGGGATTCTGTGAAATCTTGGAGGATCCCACAGTCACTCTGAAAAGAGAGGATGCACCAGGATCCACTCCACAAGCTCAGCTGCATGTGAACATTCTCTGGGGAGATTCCTGATGAATTAAGAGCATTTCTGAGATTCTCTGAGCTCTTCTGAGATCCATCCCCTTCCTGGGGATGTGATGGACTGACAAACCTCTTGTGCAAACAGCTCCTTGATTTTCCCTCTGAATGAACACACCTGCAGCACTGAAAATGAGGAAAACAGTTGTAGGGATTTGGGTGGATTCATCTTCTTCCCCTATAGAAGGGTTTTGCTCCCTGTTGCCTGAGCAGTTCTGAGGATGCAGCTGCTGGCTTTGTTCTCTGCATTTCTCCCAAGAATTATCCCAAGTGATTTGCTCTTTATGTGGATTTGATGCTGCTCTTTCTTTCCAGCTCTCTCCTTCTCTGATGCTGTAAGATCCCTGCCACTTACAGGCTAAATCCCTGAGTGGAGAATCTAAAAATAGTTAAATTCTGGAATCTGGAGTTTGTTTTTTCTACTATGAAATATTTAACTTGGCTTACAGAAGTGGTCCTCCCATCCTTCAGCCATCTGCTCCTCTTAAAATATGTTTCTTTGTTTTGAACTGGAACTAAAAAGGCAGAAGACCTTTTGAGGCTCTGTCTTTCTTTCAATTATTTTTTAATTTCATTATTTTCAGTGTGAAAAATAGGGGTGCTGACATGTGACTCGAGTCCCAGGAGCAGGGAGACCCCAAAATGGGACTTTTCCAGGTTTTCTGGGCAGGTGGGCCACCTGGCCTAGGGATGAAGGTGATGAGGGCAAGCTGGGGAGCAGCACATCCCTGTCCTGTGGCTGGTGGAGGCAGCAGGGGGCTGATCTCATTGTTGAAGCTTATTCTGGGGTCAGGGTGGTAACCTGGGGTGATCCCTGATTATCTCACAGGGCTGTTGGCTCCACCACACCCCTTGGTGCTGCCTGGCACAGATCAGGGAGCAAAGCACATATTCCCTCTGGGCTTGGTGGTGCCTCTTGGGGATTTCTGCTGCTTTCTTAATCCTGCCTTGTTCCCCTGCAGGTAAACTTCAACGAGCCCCTGTCCATGCTGCAGCGGCTCACGGAGGACCTGGAGTACCATGAGCTGCTGGACAAGGCAGTGAAGTGCGAGAGCTCCACGGAGCAGATGTGCTTTGTGGCCGCCTTCTCCGTGTCCTCCTACTCCACCACTGTCCACCGCACTGCAAAGCCATTCAACCCCCTCCTGGGGGAGACCTACGAGCTGGACCGCCTGGAAGAGCTGGGATTCCGCTCCCTCTGCGAGCAGGTGAGGGCTGGGGCTCTCTGGGATCATCCTGATCATCCTGCTGCTGCTGTTGTCCTGCTGGGGGCACCCAGCACCTCCCTGAGCCTCCCGTGGGCTCCTCTCCCAGCAGTGGGATGTGGCCCAGGTGGTGCAGTCCCCACCCCTGGGGGTGTCCAAGGAAGGACTGGACGTGGCACTCAGTGCTCTGGGCCGGGTGACAAGGGGGGCATTGGGAACACGTTGGACTCGATGGGTTTGACCCTTCATCCCCAGGTTTGGAGCAGCTGCTGCAGGCAGCAGTGCCAGGCTCTGCCACCAGCTCCTTGCAGGACACCCAGGGGTGTGCAAAGCCCTTCCTGGCAGTGAATACCCAGACTTGTCAGACACATGTGCAGCACTTGTTTGAGGCAGGATGGAGCCTCCTGTCAAATCCCATGCCAGGCCATGCCACCCCGCATCTCTAGGCCGTGCTGCTCTGGGCAGTGGCAGGGAACAGGCTGTGTGGGGTCTCCTGGAAGTGTGACCCAAGGAAGGTCCTGAAGCAGATCATCCCCAAAATTCCTGGCTCTGCTGTCCCTCCACACCCCACAGCTCTGTGTGCCCAATGTGCATGTCCTGAGATCACCCATCCCAGCCTGGGAGCCATCCCAGTGCCCGTGGCTGCAGCAGGTGGGCCCTGGTGCAGCCCTCCTGCCTGCCAGGGTCAGAGGTGGCCTCATCCCTCAGACACCCCAGCACTGCAGCTGTCACAGAGCTCAGGTTCTCCCACGTCAGCAGTGTCACACCTTCACCTCCCCTTGCCTGGCAGCAGTTCCTGTTCTGTCACCTGGTTTAGCCTGGAAGTGGATGATTCCTGGCCAGGATCCATCCCTTAGCCAGCTGCCACCCTCATCTTCCTGGGGTACAGTTGGAAATCCTGGGTAGATTTATCAGCCTCATCCCAGTTGTGGTGCCAACCCCAGGGCTGCCTGTCGGGTGCCTCTGGATACCTTAGACCACAGCATTCCCAATCCTGCCTGTCCAATACTGCTGGACACCCAGACTGCATCATTCCCAAACTCTGTCATCCCTGTTCTCATTCTTTCACCCCCACTTTCCACCACACTCCTTCCTCCAGCCCTGTTCCCTCCCAAATAAATAACCTGCCTGGAGTTACTTTCTCTGGTTGGTCCCAGTTTTCTCTGTTTGTACCCAGATTTGCTATTCCTGACCAATTCCAGCTGCCTTTCCCACTGTTCTGAATTTTCCTTGGATGCTGCCTGTGCTGCTCAGCCTGCTAACACACCCAGCCAAGCAGTGATAATCCAGTGCCTGAAATCCAGTTATCCAAATAGGATTTCCTGCTGCTGGTGACTGGGATTTAATGGCGAGGCCTTGGCCCTGCCCGTGTGTGTAATCCAGAGCTCGGGGCGCTCAGCCTGTAATTACAGCAGGGAAATCATCCCAGAGCTCCAGGGATCGGTGGGTGCCTGTGCCAGGCTGTGCCATGAGCTGAGAGCCTGCTTGAAGACAGATCCCTCTGCCTGGGATCTTCCTGCTCCCACCTTTGTTTTGGGCAGCTTTTCCAGGGCAGGGCTTGTGAGCACCATCCTCTAACAAGTCACTCTTAGGGTTTAGGATGCTGTGTCGGCTTTTCCAGCCTGGTGTGTGTGTGAGGGAAAAGCCAAAGTCTTGCTGTGTGTTTTGGACACCTTGTGAGCCTGTATCCTCTGGGATTTCCCAGCTGCTGTTCCTCTGGGATTACTGGGGTGCCAGCACATCTGTGTTTCTCAGCCAGGATCCCAGGAAAGCAGGGCCATGTTCTGGGGTCAGGAAACAACAGCATCTCTCAGCAGTGGTTGCTCAAGTGAAGATTTCATGGATCATGCTTTGAAATGAGCCTTAGCAAATCCTGGCAGGATCCTGGTGTGTCTGCATTTGCTGCCAGGGCACTGCATGGGGACCCCCCCAGTGGCCAGGAGGGGACTGAGATATGCAGAGCCTGGAGTATCCTTAGTGCTGGGCTGCTGTGGAGCTGCTCCAGGCACTCAGCTGGGCTCTCATGGGCTGTGTGTCCTGTCCCCAGGTGAGCCACCACCCCCCAGCAGCCGCCCACCACGTGTACTCCAGGAGAGGGTGGACGTTGTGGCAGGAGATCACCATCGCCAGCAAGTTCAGGGGCAAATACCTCTCCATCATGCCACTGGGTAGGTGATGGATTCTGGAATTAACTGGGATTGATAGGCCTTGCTCATGCAAAACCCAGCAGTTAAAGAAACTGCTTCCTTAGCCTTTAGGAATTCCCTGGGCTCACCTGGGGCTCAGTGAATTCCACCCCAAGCAATTAAGGAGCCCAGATTTGTGCTCCTGATCCAATGATCCAACAATAACATCTGCCCTGGAAGTGGAAATGATGCCATCTGCAAAGGCTCCTTTGCTTTGCCCAGAAATTGATTTTTCCTTCCATGATATTTGAAGTTAACTTGCTGCCTGTTTTAACCCTCTCTCTGCCAGTCAAGTGCAATAAGCTGCCTCCTTCCAGCATTTTATTTTCCTTTTGCCTGTCCCTGGGCTGGGCAGCATTCCCACAGTGGTGCCAGTGCCTTAATCAACCAGGCAGCACATTTCTGACCTGCTTTGGGCAGAGGGCAGAGGGCCTGACAGGACTTGTACCCTCCCTTCCTGAAGCAGCCTGGGAGGGATGAATCCAGAGCCAGACCAGGCTGGGGGATGCAGGGAGAGAGGGATGGCTCTGAGGATGAGCACAGTGCTGGGGAGGTGTGGGCTCTGGAGAACATCTGGCCCTGCTGAGCTCAGATCATTCCTCTCTCCACAGGCGCCATCCACCTGGAGTTCCACTCCAGCGGGAATCACTACGTCTGGAGGAAAGTCACCTCCACTGTGCACAACATCATCGTGGGCAAGCTCTGGATCGACCAGGTGGCTGAGGGGACAGTTCTGCCTGGCTCCGGGGGGCTGGAGGAGCATTGTTCTCCTGGGGCATGTGCTCCTGCCACGATGGGAAGCTGTGCTTCCCTGCAGGGATGGGAAAGCCCGAGGCCAGCAGGTGTGGTGGGGGTGGCTGTGTGGGACAGCCCCTGGTACCTGCACTACAGCTAACGCCTCCTCTGTCTCTCCCTGCTGTGATTCTTTCTGTCTTTTATCCAGTCTGGTGAAATAGAGATTGTTAACCATAAGTCCAAAGATAAATGCCAGCTGAAATTTACCCCCTACAGCTACTTCTCCAGGGATGTCCCCCGCAAGGTGAGTATCCAGCAGGGACTCTGCTCCTTCAGGGGTCAGACCTGGCTTTCCCAGGCTTCCTGGGAGATACCACTGGGATGACCCCCAGCACAGGGCTGAGGGGCTGGTCAGGCACCTCTGACATGTGTCACCAGGGAGGGCTGGGTGGCACCTCCACGTGCCATGGCTTGGCTCTGATGTGCTAGAGCTGCAGCACTGAGGCCTGGGAGGGGCTTGGTGGGTTGGGCACCCACCTGGGATGTCCCAGGAGACACAGCACCACATCCAGCTGGGCATCTGGAGGCTGTGGTGTCCATCTGGACATTCCCAAATGCCACCAGAGCCGTGTCCCCCTGCCAGGTGACAGGGGTGGTGAGCGACGCCGATGGCAAAGCCCACTACGTCATGTCCGGCACGTGGGATGAGAAGATGGAGTGCTCCAAGATTGTCCACAGCAGCCATGGCAGCACCAGCACCGAGGGCAAGCAGAAAACTGTCTATCAGACACTGTCCCCAAAGGTCCTGTGGAGGAAGTACCCGCTGCCGTGAGTCCCGGTGGGATGGAGCAGCAGGACAGGGATGGGGGTGGGATTTCTCAGTGCCTTGTGGAATGGGAGGCTCATGTGCCCAGGCTTGAGGATGTATGGGGCTGAGTGGCTTTTTCTGAGGTGGGAGAAGAGGTCCCTGCAAGGGGAGGGCGGCTTTGGGGACTCCTGTGGGTGGGTTTGGGGTGCTTGTCGGGCTGGTTGGGGTTTTGGGGCAGTGGACTCTGGCAGGGAGGGCTGTTGGCCGCTTTGCCTTGCTGGTCACCCTGTCCCTGGCCATCATGTCCCAGCAGTGACTTTGTCCCCCTGGGGACCAGTCCTCCCCTGGCCCTTGTGACCCTCGCAGGACTGGGCGCAAACCAGTCCGGGAGCTCTGGGAGCAGCAAAGCAGTCCCTGTTTTGGGAATATTCTCTTGGGATGGGGGCTCCACCACTGCCCTGGGCAGCCTGTTCCAATGCCTGACCACCCTTTCCAGGAGGGATTTTCCTCTCATATTCAATCTAAAAGTGCTGTGGTGCAACATGAGGCCATTTCCTCTCATTCCATCCCTTGTGGCCTGGGAGCAGAGCCCGACCCTCCCCGGCTGTCCCCTCCTGGCAGGGAGTTGTGCAGAGCCACAAGGGCCCCCTGAGCCTCCTTTTCTCCAGGCTGAGCCCCTTTCCCAGCTCCCTCAGCCGCTCCTGGGGCTCCAGCCCCTTCCCCAGCTCCGTTCCCTGCCCTGGACACGCTGCAGCCCCTGCAGGGCTCTCTTGTCAGGAGGGTCCCAGAGCTGCCCCAGCACTGGAGGTGCCCCAGCAGGGCCAGCACAGCGAGAGTGGATCAGTGGGGCCGGGGGGCTGTGCCTGAGAAATCCCCCAGCCCCCAGTCTGACCAGGCTCTCTGGATTCAGGGAAAACGCAGAGAACATGTATTTCTTCTCGGAGCTGGCGCTGACGCTGAACGAGCCCGAGGAGCGCGTGGCGCCCACGGACAGCCGGCTGCGCCCCGACCAGCGGCTGATGGAGAGCGGCCGCTGGGATGAGGCCAACGTGGAGAAGCAGAGGCTGGAGGAGAAGCAGAGAGCCGTGCGCCGGCGCAGGGAGGCCGAGGCCGTGGAGGCCCTGGAGGAAGGTGAGGGATGGTTCAGGATGGTTCAGGATGGTTCAGGATGCAAGGACCACGCTGCTGTTGCTGTGGGAGGGTTGTGGAGGACAGACCCTGCAAGGGGAGGGCGGCTTTGGGGACTCCTGTGGGTGGGTTTGGGGCGCTTGTGGGGCTTGTTGGGGTTCTAGGGCAGTGGGCTCTGGCAGGGAGGGCTGTTGGCCGCTTTGCCTTGCTGGTCACCCTGTCCCTGGCCATCATGTCCCAGCAGTGACTTTGTCCCCCTGGGGACCAGTCCTCCCCTGGCCCTTGTGACCCTCGCAAACCAGTCCGGGAGCTCTGGGAGCAACAACAGGCAGTCCTGGCACTTGGGGCAGCTGTGGGATCGCGGGGTTCCGGATGGAGGAGCCCCCCTGACCCCCGTCCTGCCCGGCCAGGGAAGGACTACGAGGGGTACATCCCGCTGTGGTTCGAGCGCAAGGTGGACGCCGTCACCGGGGAGCTGATCTGTGTCTACAAGGGCGGCTACTGGGAGGCCAAGGACAAGCAGGACTGGAGCGCGTGCCCCGACATCTTCTGAGCCCCTCAGTGCTCCGGGGCCAGCCCTGGGACAGCAGCACAGCCCGAGGGACAGCCAGGACACGCCGGCAGCGTCCCACCGGGCCGACACAGTCAATACACACAGAGATCCAAACAGGGATTCCAAACCTATTTTTTTATGCACTAATAAATAGCATCCTTTTTTTTTTTTTAAATTTTTTTTTGTTTGTTTTTTTTGTTTTGTTTTGATTTTTTTTTTTTATAATGATGGCTTTTCCAGTGACTGCTCAGGAGTGAGGACACGTGGAGCTGGGTTGGGTTTAGGATGTTCATTGCCGTCAGGAGTTGCTGCCTATATCCTCCAGCGCCTCGGCTCCGGCGGCCGAGACGTCGACTTCCAAAGATGCCTGGGGTATGGGAATGCTGTGCTTGTGTGAACTCTTCTCTTTGCCATTTTTTTTCTTTTTTTGTTTTTTGGACCCCATTTCTGTGTGGACTTTATGGAATTATTTTTTTATAAAAACAAATCCTGCTCCTGGTTCAGGTTTCCTTCAAAGACGGACACGAACAACTCTGCTTGGAAAACTGTCCCCAGGAGCTTGATCCCAGAGGCTCTTGGTGGTTCCACAGTGCCCAGTCATCCCAGTAACACCCACTAGGATATTTCAGCTGGTGACTTTGGGGTTTTTGATGTGGTTTTTGTTTTTTTCAAGAGCGTTGGAGGCACTTCCCCACAGTCTGATGTGTTCAGGCAAAGCTTGGGCCTGTCTTTATCATGTGGGAGTGGTTTGAGTGAAGTTTGCTTTGGTTTTCCTGCAACCACATCCGAAGGGAGAAATGGCCTCAGCGAGGCTGGGAGTGCCAGGCTGGTGCAGTGAAGAGTTTTTATCCCAGAGATGCTTCTGGCTCCGTGTCCCTGCTCCATATCCCTGCACACAGGGGCTGGCTCTCCATGCTGGCTTTTCCATCGGTGTCTCCTGCTGAGCTGTGCCTGATGTTGGGTGGGAGAGGAGGGAAGAGATGCTGTGATCCCACTGGGATGGAGCCTCGGTCCTGCATCTCCCACCCTGTTCAGCCAGACAGGCCTGGGCACAGGCTGAGGCTGGAGGCTCCCTGCATCCCAGCTCCTGCTCCTGGCTCCTGTTCCTCTCCTCCCTCGTCCTCTCCCTGGCCTCTCCCTGCAGCAGTTCCAGTTTGGCAGGGCAGGGAACCCTTTGTCCCCTCACCCCTCCTGACCCTGCCCAGCCCTGGATGCACCGGGAGAAGTGGAGCGAGCTCTGCTGGTGGCAGGTGAGGATCAGGAGCACCGAGGGAAGCAGGAGGTGGCAGCACCCCAAACACGGGATCTGCTGGGCCAGGGAGTAGCAGGAGCACCTGGAGATCTGCACTGGCCCTGCTGGATCCCATTTTTGCTGTCTCCTTCTCCCATCCTCCATCATATCACACTGACCCTGCCTCCGGGGCCGCCCCGGGCCGGGCTCGTCACACCCACGTGGAAGTTAATTAGCAATAACGAACCTTGAGGCAATGGTAACTGGAATATCCAGGCTGCACACGGGACACTTATGCAATCAGGTTCCTCATCCATCAGTCTCCTGATCAGCTTCCAGCACTTCCATCCCTGTGATCCCCACAATGTACAGTCCCCACGGCCCTGGACCGTGGTGCGGGGCAGCCCCCACTGCTCTCAGTGCACCCTTTAATCTTATTTATTTGCTTCTAATTTATACATATATATATAAAATATATATATATAAAATTATTTTGCTTAAATTTCTATGGTACACAATAGATGAAAAATGATGAAGACAGAGGTGTCTGTCTGAGTTTTTACAGCACAAGTACGATTCCCCTTGGCTCATCCCCGAGCTCGGGTGGTAGTGGAATGATTCCCATTGCAGGGAAGCTCCAAAGCTGGATCCTGTAGCATGGAAAAGGTGTTCCAGAGACATTCCCATCTGGAAATGATGAGTCTGTGGTCTGAGGAGCGGCACTGGGGATTCCTGGGAGTGGGGTGCTCCAGGCTGCTTCCCAATGTCCTGAGAGTTGCTGCTCCGGAATGTTCCCTCCTTCCTGGAGCTTTGCCCTGGCTTGGGAAAGCTGATCTTAAATGATCCAGTCTGGGATTCAGCCTGTGGAGAGCTGCCTGTGTCCTGGCCCCGGGTGTCCTACCTGGGAGAGGGAGGATGCTCCCACTGATCCCTGATGCCGCTGCCTTGGCTTGTGGCAGCCCCGAAGTGTCCCGGGGGATTTGTCCCACACGAGGCCTGGGCCGGGTCCGTGATGGAGCTCTTCAGAATGCCTTATTTTCCTTTTTGCTGTGTCAATGCAAGCGTCACCCGGGAGCTTGGAGCAGGGAGAAGCTCCAGCACAGGCTGTTCCCAAGCTGGATCGGGGTGTTCCCGGGCAGAGCAGAGCAGGGAGTGGGATTTTGCTCCCAAAGTGCTGGCACCGAGGGTCCAGCTGGTCCTGAGGGGTCCCCTGTGCTGTGCCCCCCTCTGTGTCCATCTGGGAATGCCCATCACTGACCCTGCACAGCGGGGGGAGCACGAGGAGCACCCCAAACCAGAAATCCCCTGGATTTTAGGCTAATGGAAAAAATTGCTCCATCTTCCAGAAATCATCTTGTCAGCAGCACTTAACCAGAGCACCATCTCCTGGTCCTTCTGTTCCTCCTCGAGGATTTTAATGTCATTCCACTGTAAATGCTGTTGAATGTATTTTCTTTTTGAACAATAATATATTGTGAGTGATCCCTCTTCTCCTACACGGAAATAAAACTTGGATTCGGGAGTTTTAAAAGCCGTGGTGCTCAGATGGTCACTGGCTCCCCAGGGCTGCAGGTCCTGGAGGAGCTCTGGGTGTGAGAGGGGACATGGACACAGCTTGGGCATCCTCCAAGGAGGATGGGGAGGGATCCTGGAAGGTGGCAGAGGAAGGAGAAAATCCTGCTCAGAGGAGGAGGCTGCCCAAAGTATAGGGAAGTCCAGGGAAGTGATGGTTCAGGGAAGGAGAAGGATCTGGGGGAGAAGTTGCTGAGGGGAAGAGATGGAACAGGGAGGGTGGTTTGAGGGGCAGGAGGGGCGGTGATCCAGGGGAAGTTTCCAAGGCAGGAGGTCCAGGGAAGCAGGAGCATGGAAAGAGATCATCTGGGAGCTTGAAGGAGGAGAAGCAGGGCAGGGTTTGCCCCCGGAGGGAGATGGGCCAGGAGAGATCATCGGGGTGGAGATGTCCCAGGGGAGTCTGGCCCAGGGGGAGGGTGGTGGCCCAGAGGAGGAACAGGGAATGAGGAGCTCAGGGAAGGTTCCCAGATACCGAGGTTCCCTGTGGCTGGTGGGCAGGAGCTGATCCGGGCAGGCTGAGGCCGGTCCCTGCGGGATGTTGCCAGGAGACAGGGACACACAGCCCTGCCCGTCCCGCTCCTGCCTCCTCTGTGCCGGCCCCAGGTGAGTCGGGGCTGTGGTGGGGGGACCCGGGCTCTGTGACCCCCCCTGGGCACCGGGGGCTCGGGGCGCTGGGCACGGCGG